GATATCTAAGGTGTTCACTCCTGCTCAGTCCTCAGTCCTTAATCAAGCGCTTCTTTCATTGAGAAAAGATGCCAACCAGATGGACCAACTTGATCATTGTTTGGGAATGTTAACGGACGCAGTCAGGAAGACTGAGGATCTACACCTACAACTTCGACAAGTAGCAGAACTCGAGGTAGGAAGACAAATCTATTCAGCACTTCAAAATTGGAAGATGCAAAATTATCCCAGTGCCTTCCTCACTGTCCTATCTCCTGTCTTTCCCGCTATCCCATCTTTCTCATTTTCCTCACTGTCTTATTTTCCTTCTCAGACGGGGTTTCCATTTGGCTCTACTGATGGTCCATTTGCTCCTCGTGATTATCTTTATTTCCATACTTGGGACATGCAGAATGTGAAATCCATCATTGTTCGTCCAATTCCGATCTCATTACGTTTGAAAGCAGGACTCTCATTTTTACAACCACGTTTTGTCCGTCCGCCAAGATCGTCCGAATCTCTTCCAATGAGTCGCAGATTAACGAATGACTTGCTTTTCATCATCTCTGATATTTTCGGTGAAAATTGGAGTGCGATTCAAGTTCTCATTGAAACCGCTCTCTCTTCATTCATCGCTCTTTTCATTTTGTTCTCCACTCCGTTTTCGTATCTCGGCACGCGTCTCATCGTTGGAATTTTGTGGTGTTTCCATATTTCTTTGATCAAGGAACGTCAATACGTCGCTCTCGAGAACGCTTGCGAAGACATCAACCGGCTGACCGGCCGCCTCGGGGTGAGTCCTTTGATTTTACATAGAGTGGAGTCTCAGCCGTCTCAGTGTGTCCCGAAGGAGATAATAATTGGCATTTATTACTTAACAATCGAATTTCTATTCCTTCCTCAGGTCGCATTCCATGCACACGAAATTGGTTTGTCATACGGTATCCGAATCGAGTTTCGGCACCATAAAGACGTCGTCAAGTATGTCAGGGAGAGAGAAGCAAGTTAGACGATACTCAAGATAATGAGAGTTCAAAACATCGATTAAGGCGTATTCGTTTACATGCATCATGTGTGTTCGTCTATATTCATGATTTTTGTATTCAGGACGAAGGACTTGTTCCTCAGATGGGGACAGAAGGCGCTCCGGGAATTCGAAGAAATGCACTCTCATCATCTACGGCTTCCTTTTCCTGAATCTTTTGTGCCGATTCCCTTGTTCCGACACGAACCTGCACGAGAAAGGAGAGGGTGGCCATCGGTTGGAGGACAGCAGGACGATCCGGGATATATGGCTCTCGTGTGGCGCGATTGGTACGCAAATTCTGATAATCTCAACAAGCAAAAAGAAGTTCCATCTGGGATCTGTTTTGGGGACACAGCATTTGGAACAGAAGACAAGAGCGATGGGGGAATCGGGGACCGAAGAGGAGCAGGAGAGTCTTTTGAAAGAAGGACGAGACAAGAAAGGGATTCTGGCGCGAATACGAAATTTCTTTTTCCACGATGATGATGATGAGCAAACTGAAGAGTCCCGACGTCCGAGCATCACGACACTAGCGACTGAAGTCTACCGAACCGCATTGGATGAGCTTGTCGAAAGGGAACGATACAATTTGCGACGGAATGCAGGCCTTGACTCCTTGATGTCACTCGTATTTGGACGTTCCCGGAACACTCGCGAACAAGAATCAGAACGACAGAAGCCGGAACGACAGCAGCAGCATCCCCTTTACAGAAAAAGAAAGTTTTCAACTCAGAAATCTGCAGAGGATGTCAGACGACATCGACTCTTCAGGGAAGCTCTCCGATGGGACAGACACGTTCCTGCCGTTCCGGGACAGTACCAATCCCGGGACACAAATCTACCGGCAGACTTTCAGTGGATGCTTGCAAAGCCTTCCTCAAGATCTCTCCAGCGTAACAATTACTTCTTCTATAAGAACGTCATGCCGCATCGATATCCACTCGAGACACAAAGAATGCCACGGCAATTCGCGACGGATTATTATCGTCTTTGGGACAGAATCGCGAAGTCGTCAAATCGCGTTGGACGTACCACGACCTCATGTAAATGGATGTACGACCGAACAGATCAGGATACAAGATGGTTACTCCAGTCTGCCTTGGAGCGACACGTTGCCGGAATGACTTATCGCTCGAATGTAGAACCAATCAACAAAGTTCAATTTGATATTCATACGCGATCCTTAGAAGCTGCAAGATATCTCAATGTCCCAAAACGCAAGGGAAAATGCATTCAGTATATGGACGTCGGAGTGACAGATTTCTTCTATGGCGTGATTCCTAAATTGCAAGATCAAATCGAAGCCCTTGGAGAGTCCCATGAGTGGAATTGGCTGTTCGGACGTGATTTTTCAGTTCAAGGGACATCCGAAACGCGACGACAAAGATTCCAAGAAGCGCGATTGCTGCAACGAGGCGACTCAGAAGACAATTTATCTGATCTGCCTCTCGGTGAATTCATTCATCCCGGGCTTCCACGATCGAGAAGTGATGGGAGTATCGCGGCTACAGCAAGATCCGAGGGGGGATCAACAGTGCACAGAAGTCGTAGTGCCTCAACTTTGTCCCAAGGATGGGATCCCGAAGTATCGCTTGGAGAGGAAGGAAGGCTGCTTTGGGAGATCGATCGGTTTCCTTCGTTTCCTGAATTGCCAACTCCATTCGCACTTCCGACGGCAATTCACAGATCCTTCGATCGCGATGCAAGACCGACAATTGAAATAGAAAACAATCGGGATGGATGGTTCAGAAATAGACTTGGGATTCGAGAAGATGTGTCGGAAGAGCATACCGCAACAATTCTTCAACTAAAACGCTTATTAAATGAAGTGACATCTGAAATGGAATGAGTGTCAGACTTGTTGGTGTGTCTGATATCAACATTCATAAAATCTGAAATATCAACAGTATCAGAAGCGTCGTGCTCTGAATGGCTGAATTCGACGTCTGCCAATCAAGGAGCGTGGGACTGATTCTTCTTTCTTTTCTTCTTTCTTTTCTTCTTGTCCAACGACAGAAGGTGGCTTGCTTGGCGTCGCAGCTCTTGTCGGAACTTTTCGCTTTGCAGTGCTGCGTGATAAGGGCCTTGTTGGGGCAGCACGGGATGGTCGGAGTGCACTGAAAGGTTTTCGCGTTGCCATTCGAGGAGGCGCTTCCAGGGGAATTGCTGAATGTCAATAATCAATATTTATCAAGAGGCAACTGATCTTACGTTCTGGAAGCGCGGCCGCGATACGATCAGGAGGTGCGCTAGTCCGCCGCGATTGAGTGCCTGCTGTGGTATCGATGGCAGAGGATCCGCTTGGACGACGGCTCCCTGAGAGTTCCAGTTCTGCTGCTCGTCGTTCCGCTTCCTCTTTTTCTCTTAAGAGTTTATCTCTCTCGGCCTCCAACTGAATGTCATGAAAACGCCATCCGATAGAAACAAAGGCTCCTCTTCATAAATATTGAATGGACTTACCGCTATCAGTTTCGATTTCATTGCTGAACACCGACTTTCAGCTTCTTCATATGCATTATAAGAATCTTGAAACTTTTTCTGCAACAACAAAAAACAAAACTTCAACGAAGTTATTTTTGACTATTTTTTACCGTCAGAACTGTTCTCTCGCTCCTCAATTCAGCGGATACAAGCTTTTTCTCCTTCTGCGATGTTTCAAAGGCAGATTGCATCGTCTTGAGCTCGAGTGATACTTGGGAATTGACTTTGCGCAAATCTTCTTCCAAGGCCCTTGCTTCCTCCAACTGCAATCTACTCTCCGTTGCTAGATAGCGACTGAACATCACTTCACGTAGCAGCCTCTTCAAATTCTAAAAAACAAGAACTGTGCAAGAAATTGTGTCGAAGAGAACTCCCTTGTAAATGCAAAGTATGATAGGAGAGCATATTGTGTTCGGGAGATACAAACCGGCGTCTGCGGCTTACAGCATTCCACTTTAACTCCTTGAGATCATCAGGAATGATTGAAGGGTCAAATGTGAGTAAGCGGTTCTTTAATTCGTCGAGCTCCACTTGAATTTCATCGCGATTTTTTTCCAAAGTATCGAAATCACCTGAACAAACACGAAAGATCTCTCCAAGTATTTCAATACAAGATCAAATTCACCTACTTCTCAACAATTTAAGCTCCGTTGTTCTCTCTACTAATTCGCTAGAGACATTTTCTAGCTGGCTGATAAGCTTTGCAAAAGTATCACTTTCAGTCGGATTTGTCCCTCGGAATAATTTCATAGCGGTAGTACCGCAGCTCGTCCAAGAGGCGGGTGCAATGTTCAACTAATTCCAGCTTTTCGCTCTAAGAAATCAAACATAAATCTTGAACACATCGGCTAAGAATCTCTTTAATCGATGCTCTTATACTTACTAAGAGGGATTTGACCTTCTTTTGCAATTCAGATACATCGACGGAGAATCGATCAGTGACGCCTCTAATCTTTGTTCTCGTTTCTTGTTGCTCATAAAGAAGTGCCAGAATGTGGTGCTCCCAAGGGCTCAGCAGAGCGAAAATCGAATCTACCTTCTTCTCCAGTTGAAACTTTTTCAGCGCCTCCTCCCGTTGAATTTCAGCAGTCGACTCATCGGCCTCGGTCGGAGATGCTTTGATGATGTGACGCTCAATAGCGGAACTGCATCAAGGTGAATTCAAAGCACTCGAACCGTAGGGACTCCTACCATAACAACCTCGACACCATAACGTAGGCCATGGGCTGGACGCGTTTCAAATAAACCAGGACTTGCTCTCTCGACTCTAAACTCTTTCGAGGAACAGGAATTCCTAATCGCGAGCTCAATGAAGGGGCCTCTCCACTACGACCTGCATCCGTTGACGTAACGAGCACTGACAGCCCTAACTTGGTCAACAATGTTTGAAGATATTCAACTTGTGCGGAGGAGGAGTTGTTTTTTGCAACCAGTCTCGAGTTGTCATGCCGGAGTGCAATCAGCTTCCTAGAAGAAGGAAAGCGTTTTATTCCACTTTGCTTGCTGCTTTTGCTTACTTTCGAGTTTTTTCCAATTCTCGACTTTGAATTTCTTCTTCTGCAACTAAATCTTCAAGCCTTACGGTGTCGAAGCGCTGGAAATCGAGGCTTTCTCCGAAGTCACGTTTTTGCTTCACTTCGATTTCCGAATTTATTCTATTCTGAAACAAACAAAAACGGCCCAATTTTGAAGGCCGAATTCCAATCTTGTGGCTTTGTGGAATTTCGTACCATTTCTTCGATTTTCCTCAAATAATCTAACGCTCCAGCGATTGATTTGATTTTTTCCGTATCCGCCTCTCCAGTATGAATCGGTAGAGCGTGGTAGAGTTTCCCGCGCCGTCTTGGCGACAGTGTTTGGAGGCGTTCAAATCGACTTCAAAAGAAGCATCAAAATCAATTTCAAATGCCAGGACTCACTCTTGGATTCCAGCGAGTGTCACACTCCTCCCAAATTCAGAAACTTCGCCTTGCTGCTCCATCGATTTGGATCGAGTAAAGCGCGTTTGCATGATAATCTTCGACAAAGCATCGACCTTTTTCTGAAGTTCACCCTGCAAAAAATCGTCAGCGACCATCTCTTCTGAACAGTCCTCACTTTCAACTTATCGATTGCAGCATTCGAAGCTGGTTTCTCAACAACTTTGACTCTCCCTTGGGGAGTGCCGGAAATCTGTGCTTGGATTTCTGGTGCTATTTGAACTCCTGTCATTTCCTGGATGGCTTGCAGTTGAGCTTGTAGTCTGAAAACCGCACGAGTTTCGGAGTTTTCGAGCAAAAGCCTTACATTCGGATTTGTTCTTTTTGCTGCATTATTAGCGACTGTTCAGCAGACACAAAGTTTTGAGCGATTTTCTTCTTGATTTGTTTCGCCTTCAATGCAAATCTACGAGGAATGAATGAGACGAAATCAGGCCCCTATTATTTTGAGACTGCCATCCAAGATGCAGAAGTTGTCAAATTAAAAAATCTTCATTGTAATAAGCCTAAAAGCTCGTACCTCAATGTTGACATTGAAATTTCCAAAGCTTGCGTCGAAGGGTGCACAGCGACGAGCAATGAAGCACGACTATTTCCTCCCAGTGATTTTTGCAACAAGCGGGTCAATTTCGAGTCCCTCCACGGAATATGCATCATTTCTTTTTTCGCTTTATCAAGTGCAGCACCGCCACCCTTCTTCATTGCCTCTGCTTTTTTGGAAAGTTTTGCAATTACTTCAGATAAAAGAAAAAGCGATTTATTGATCGCTTGCCCCTCAGCTTGGCGTTCCTAATATAAAAAACGCTTGGAAGTTCTAACCTTCGAAATCACATACTTTCGCCCCTTCCACGCCTTCAGAAGCCGTTGCCCTTTCATTCCCCGCGAGATCGACCAGCTTGAGCTCCCCTCGCTTTGTAATAACACTCCCATCTGCATACGTTTGGGAACATTCCATGCTAGTCCCGAAGACTGTGTGACTCCGGCTGGACGTCTCATTGAAATTCGTACGGGCGAAATGTCGTTTCATTTCCGCCCTGCGACAAAGTTCTCATTCATCAGGATTGTCGACAATCCCGTACCTTTGAAGCAATTCCATCACGTCCTTCACCGACGCAACATCCTTCTCAGCTAATCCAACAACATAAAATCCTCCTTTTGGATCTTCTTTCACATCGAGATTCTCTAATGGTTGAGTCTCCCCTTTGGGGTCCATCTTGAAACAAATCGTTCACTCGTTCTAGATAAATCTCGACATAGGAAACTCGAAGAAGATAACTCTGTAAACGATCCCACTTAACCAAGAGTCGATCCAGTTGATTCCCACCTGTTCAACAATTTCTTCAGCCCTGAAAAGTATCCATCATATAATTGTTGTAGATGACAAATATTAGAGAAGTCAACTCACTCTGGGTTTTCAGTCCCATCTTCCATTATGTCGAAAAGATCCGCTACAGAACGAGGAAGAATCCCAGGATCGCTTGATGTTCCCATAATGCTGCGAGGAGGATGATATCGATAGACAGCGAGTATTAAAGAGAGAAGAAACGTTGAAATGGGAGAGCCTCTAGAATCTACTACTTAGTGCTCCAGTTAACTTGTTGACAATAAGATCATCATAATCCTAGCATCACTTGTCAGTATCACTGAGTCTAATCGTTACCTGTGTGTCTTGCCGCAGCCAGTCTGTCCATATGCCATATAACAACCATTTATACCAACTGAAGTGTCTTTGACGATGTCTCTTGCAGTTTTATCATACACAATTTCATTCCCACCTAATCGTAAAATGAGGAAAGTGTGGATCCTAACATCCTTACATGATTCATCGAAACACATATCAAACGCATACGCCCGCTTAATATTGACTCCAGAGGGTTGCGGCATATCCAGAGTTAAGGTTCCATTGTTTTGGAGCTTCCACGCCCTCACATGGCCAGCATCAATCTGTAAACATGCACATAATGGTATTGCATTATTGTGCGAATGGATTACTTCTTTTTGAAACAACGGCCGTTGCCGTATACAAACTCGAATCGCTTCCTCTGGAAAGAGAGTGATTGATCAACAATTACACTGAGTTTGATTGATCAGAACAGAAGGACTCATGGAAGAGAATAGAACATGTGGCGCCACAGTATCGACTTACCCATTGCTTGTTGATGATCAAATGCACCCAATCATAGAACAGTCTACGCCCTTCATATTTATTGTATGGGGCGGCAGTCAAGATGGACGTGCTTCACCTTTTAAAATTGACGTATTTGTTCTGTGGCGGCTGACGGGTTCTTTACAATCCCGGTTGTCATGGAGAGAAATGAAGAACCTGAATCGAAAACACCGATAGGTGAAGAGGAAGAAGAGGAAGAAGAGGTGGAAGAGGTTAAAAAGGTTGTAAAGCCCATGGGTTATACAGATGATGAGAGTGATACAGACTATTTATTGCCTGATGACGAACAAGAAGCTGGAGTTCCTGAAGTGAAACAAACACGAAGACCGTCAGAGGAACGTGGTGGTGGTGGTGGTGGTCATTTCAGAGTCCTCGTTGACTTTGATGAGATGCGAGATGGGAAAGATAAACCCAAAGAGAAAAACCTTGTAAAGCCAAAAGTATTAGCGAAACCTCCGATTCGTCAATGATTCAATTAATCAAGAGAGATGACTCCTTTTATGACGATAGTAAATATCGTTCTCTAGTGTATATGACATCACTCCAAATATGTCGTTAATGAGCTGGTTGGGAAATGATGCAATCGAAACTTGCAATCGCAATTATGACAACTGAAGACAGACATGAATTATTGATCAGTGTGTGATGAGTTTGAGTTGTTGTAATCTATACATCCGCTTGCTCCAAACCCTCTAGAGTTACTTGCCATCAAGCGAATCAACAACAAAGGTAAAGAGTGCAAAAGATCTAAAAGTCTTGGAATTATTGATAGTTAAGAGACTCAAGAGTGTTTATGTCAAGACGGAAGGCGGGAGTCGATTGGAAAGTCTTCATTGCCAAGTTTAAAAATGTTTTCTGTCACGGCCACTGTCTTTCAAAGGGTGACGAAATAACCTAAACGTTACCAGTTCCTCAATGGTTCAACACCAATTAAATCTCCTGTTATTAAACATCTATACTGGCCTAATGTCCCTGCAGGTATAGATACCGACCACATTTGCCAGAGTGTTTAAAATGTTTACAGGAACGTCAAAGCCACTGCTGCCGCCTTGGAAAGTATTGAATTTTTCTTCCGCTAGTCTTACTCCAGATGTTCGCAGTGTCATTGCTTCAACCTCCGTCACCATTCATAAAAATTGATCGGCCGTGGAATGGCGAAAAGGAATCCAACAGGAGGTGATTGCTTCTTTATCGCATCGCCCGGAGTTTATGGATTTGAGCGCTTCAGATGCTTTGATCACGCGTAGCAGCAAGCCACTTTTCAGAAATGGTGATCGATCGAGTTTGACATTGTCTCAATCATCGAGCTCAAACAGAAACTATCGGAGTCCGATCGGGAGCAAATATGTTATAGGAATCAGCGAATTGCTCTCTTTCAATTTCATAGGAAGGTTGTTGTCGGGTTTATGACGGATGGCGTCAATTTGATAACAATTGTAACATGTCCAGTTAAAAAACGGCACTACCAGCGACAATCTTCGTTTCGTCAAACTCTTTCGAATTCGATTCCCGCCATAACACACATTGTCACCACTTGTGATCAAAATCAGTTTGGCTGGAAGGAATACCCACTTGAGAGGGCTAGTGATATTTGGTTCGTTGACGTTTTAGCATACTTCAACAATCATTTCGCACTACAAGTAAAAGCTGCATTCCCGGGACGATACGTTGAAGATGATCGAGAAAAGACTTTTTTTTTGAAATCTGGGGGCGACCCAATAGAAGTCAAATACTATAAAGAGTCTGAAGGGCGAGAGAATGTGAGATTACGGGTTTTGGTACTTCGCATGATTCTCTCTTTCAGAAGCCTACGGGAGAAATAGAGATGCTTTGTTCAGAGCAGAGAGGATTATTCGCCGGGTTATTGCTTTCTCCAGTCGGAGAGGTCGTTCTTTGGAGTAACTTGGACCCCGAATCCAAAAAAATCGGTGCAAGGAACTGTATCATCCAGCTGCGCGAAGGTAAGATGGTGCAGCCTCTGGCCCTCATTCATGGGTCGTCACTTCCTTACAGGCCACTCTATGGGGTTCCTCCATACAGATTGCCGGCCCCCGAATTTCCTTCAAGTTAACGGGAATATTCAAATAATCGACTTTGACAACGTTGTAGTGCCTCCACGTCGTTGTGGACTGGTATCATCTTCTGACCAAGCACTCTACAAGTTGAAAGAGCTAACGAACACGCCAATGGCTGGTGATGGTTATGTTCAATGCGACATCGTTGATTTCAGAGAGCGCGATTGCCAAGCTATCAGCATTGCACATCAACGCGCAGTAACGGACAGAATAAAATACATTTACACTCCTGTGGACGATGAACTCAGTGTTTTCAAATGTTTTGAGTATCTTGGGAGCGCCTATGAGACCAGCATGGAGGAGGACAGCGACGAAGTGGATGGAGAAGAAGCATTAATGGAGTATCTCTTAAGTAAATGCAATATACCAGCGATAACAGCCATAATTGAAAAACGGCAACGGAAGGAAGATTTAACAAATGAGAGTCTGTACTATTGGAGAGCCTTGAATTTCATCTCTATTCGGAGTGGTTGCGACATATTGGCGTGCAAGATCTGAGCTTGGATTTGAAGCAACCTCTCAATTTATTCTGCCGCGCTGTCTGATTCAGGGATGTCAACGAGAGGAATGAATTTTAAGAAGTTATTGTATTGATTCTCTTATTTCGCTCTTTTCGCCTTCGAGATCAGAATCAGAAATTGAGTGTTCGGCTGTTTTGCTTCTCGTTTTCCCGTTTGAATCCTTTTCTCGTACATTCATTGAATAAAAAACAACTTCGAGGGCCCATCAACTATTCTCTGCCCATTAACGTGTGGTTGAAGATAAGATTAAGCGCTTCGAGATCTGCATCAAGACAGCAGTCTCAACAGGACATTGCTGCTGTCGTTCAGTGCCAATGAAATTACCGGGGATATGATCGTCCCATTCAACACTTTCGCACTTTACGGACCGGTTACCAAAAATGATCCCAGCTGGGTCTCTGTTTAGTTTGTAGTTTAGAGTGTAAGGGGATATCTCGCGATGAACGAGCAGGGGACAATGTCTGTGTCAAAGTTTGACGGGATATAACATATCACATAAATGTTATCATATCACATAAATGTCATCATATCACATAAATGTCATCATATCACATAAATGTCATCATATCACATAAATGTCATCATATCACATAAATGTCATTATATCACATAAAAATGTCATTATATCACATAAATGTCATCATATCACATAAATGTCATCATATCACATAAATGTCATCATATCACATAAATGTCATCATATCACATAAATTGCTCGATGGATTCACGCACTTGATAATGTTAAATAAGTCCTGCACTTGGCAGAAATAAGTTTACTTTTCTGTATCCAAGTTAAATCCTGTGATAAATGATGTTGCTTCATCCCTCTATATGACGATAATTCCGGATAATTCGGTTACCAACACCCATTTGTTCGAGGTGTTATCAACCTCTCAATTTGTCTTAAGAACCTCTGCTATGGTGTCGACAGGTAAACTTCGGCAAGTCTGCACCCGGCCTCATTACGTACAACAACCCCTCTCCTCTCATCTCATCACCCTCCCCCATACACGTTGGTCGCTCAATGACAAGTTCATTTGCGTCTATTTCCTTTCATTTGCGTTTATTTCCTTTCTAGATCCTCACATTGCTGAAGTTATTTCTTCCCTACATGATTTTTTATGAATATTGATGGTTATCAACGAAAGCATCTGGGTACTGGTGTCCAATGCTCGATTTTGTGAAGTTTTTACAACAACATTTTTTGTCCTAACCTCTCGAGATAGACTTCTTCCATGTTAAGCGTTATCACACTGATTTGTTGTTAATTGCCTTGGCCTTTGTTAATGCTCGGGTTCACAAATGCCACTTGTACGTCAATCAATCACCGAAGATGACGGAGAAATTCCTCAAGTTTCACCAAGAATCATTTACAACAATGTAGATCAACAGAATATGGATAGATTGATTGATGATGATAACAATCGGGATAAAATATCACAATTGCGAACATCCACACTGAGTTCAAAAATTATAATACGGGATTTAAACTTTGCTCTCTCTCTATATCGCGAGGTGATTTTAGTGTAAAATCTCAACAGGGAAGATTTGAATACTTTAAGGAGAATTTGGCCGCTTCGAGTTTTACATTAATAATATGGCAGGATATGATGATAAACATTCTATTCTCGAATGGATTCATGATCCTTTGCGTCAATACACAAGGGAGAACTTTGGTTCGTTCAGCGAGGTGAGAGAGCTCTCACTCCATACGATGTTTTCTCACTCACTTGGTGTTCACAGCAAGGCACATTGCTTTTCTATCACCGTGAAAGTGAAGGTTGCCAAGAGTTTTCCCAATGGTTGTGACTGCTATGGAACATCCTGTGCTTCCTGACAGACCCTATTCATCCTCATTTTTCCTGGGAGGCATCAGTTGACCTCTTCCCAAGAGGACCTTTTCAATACTTTCATTGACGTCGACTGCAGTGTAAGCAGTAACAGCAGTGCTTCAGCCGAACTTAGAATTCGACATTGATCTTTAATAGGGAAGTGACTGGTATACGTTGATCCCTTGATTGAGAGAAGCAAGCTCATTTTCAAATGAGAATGAATCAGGAAGCAACACACCATGAGCGACGGGCCATCTCATATTGATGATAACCATTCGGTCAGGAGTAATCAGAAAAATGAGTTTCTCCGAATGCTGGTTTCACTCTATTATTTAAAGCTTTCTGTCATAAGGGTTTCTTTGACAAGTTGGAAGCACTCAGTTGGGATTTCATTTGGTCAATTTCTTTCCATTTGTTCCTTCAATCCCTTCATTGTTTTTGTTCCAATGAAGCGTTGAAGAAGAACCCCCACTGTTTCCACTGTGGCTTGATGTACCGAGGCAAGTGATGAATATCGAATTCTTGCAGGAAAATTCAAGTCTTCCTTTATTCGAA